CATCGGCTGACAGCCCCAGTGCACAAGCCTCAGGGAAACAATTCAAACAAAACAGACGGCATTCTGAAGTCCAGACGGCACAAACTTTTTCTGCTGCCGTGACGGAGGCGTGACAGTCAGCTAAACGCTCATGCATCTCATGGGCTAGAGCAGAAATATGCCTACCAGGGATAGACCCGGAGGAGACAGCACCATGAATTGCATAATAGCCTCTCAGCAATGCAACTGCGTGAAAACTCTATTATTTATTCTATACCTTCTCCCTTCAGAGGTGTTTAATTAAATGAGAATAAAAGCACATTACCCACCCCAATGTCCAAATATTAATTATTATTCTCTTCAAGGTACCAATTATTTTAAAGAAACCCTGTAATTTTTGTGGTTCTGTCAATGAGTTATGCATTTCTGTGTGCTCTTTGGATGACTAGGAAAAAAAAAATCCTCATGTGGATTCCAGTGTCCAAAGCAATCTATTTTTCAGGATGACACCCTCAAGGGCAGAAAGAGCTTACTGGGAGCTGACTTCTGAAGGCAGCAAGATTGCTCAGTTGCTGTCCATCAGCTCGAGAGCCAGCATTTAAACAGATTAAATGGGTATCCCTACCAGGGGAAAGTCAGTCAGCAAGACCGAGTGAGTGGGCTATCAAACTTTAGCAGACAGAATCAGACTTAGTGAACGGAACCTGTGTTAGCAAACTGTGAAAGCACAGTGTGACCTCAGGGTTTACGAACAGACCCTCAGGAGGGAGGGGGACACACAAGCACCAAGTGCTGAGTACCACGCGTGAGTCTAACAGGAAAGTGAGTTCTGTGAAAGACCATCTGAAGTGTGGCTGATGTCGTGTGAGAAGTGACGAAGGTTTCCAAGGCTGTCACGCGTCAGTCTTGGTGTGTTTGTGTGTTCCCACCTCACAAGCCATTGAGGAAAAGATTCTTCAACATGTCTATGGACGAGCAAAACTTGTTTGCGTCCATCCTTCAGAAGACAATCATGCAAAGAGGAATGTACTGGTATAGACCCTTGGAGGACTCCGGCAGATGAGCTCTGTGCACACAGATAAGAAGAGCCAAAAGTACTATCAGGTAACAGGACCAATTGCTGCCATCAGGCAGGGCAAGTTCCTGCAAGAACTGAAGATCGGAGCGTCCTGGAAGGTGACCAAACATGGCATCTCTCAAAATGCTCCAATGAAATACAAGGCAACACGTTTGAGAGCATTTCTCTCCACTTTGTTGATCTCTGTTTTGGCCCTTGGAGGACGCCGAAGCTAAAGGAATTGGCCTTGTTTTAGTAAAATCTTTCATTTTCAGGGATTTTTCTTTTCCCTTCTGTTTTTTTCACACTCTGGCTAAGTGCAGTATTTTCATTTCTGAAAATCCAACCTCTGGGCAGCAGTACTTTAAATAGACAATTGAAAAACTCAAAGTAAATCCCACAGGGAGCTCCATCATTAACCCTCTGCGTAAACTGCTTGCTCACACCTTCATTTCTCACGCAGAGGGCGTGGGGTTGCAGGCTCATCAATTAGCAGCGCCTTTAAAATGTTTTAAATAAAAGACTTCTGCATTTACATCGTCGATTTCTGCCAAGATTTCAAAACTGCTTCATCTTCTTGTCCTTAGAATTAGGAAGTTTTATACCTCACCCGGCTTCCTGCCTCTGACCCTTGATTAAACCGTGTGCAGCATGTTCCACTCAAAGGACATGGAAGTCTGCCTGATGTTACACGTACGCCTGGTAAAGCGGTCCTTCACTTTTTGAGTCATCCCCGTTCATGACTAAGAGAAGGGGGATGTAATCGGGCTGTTGGTTAAAGAGAGAGGAGTCTGTCATTTGGGCTGGAAACCAGACAGATGGGAAAACCAGACTGTCTTCATCAGGTTAACTTCAGTTTAAGGTTGTTGATCAACTAAAGAACGAACAGTGAGAAACACAAAGCCATTCTCCTCAAGGGTCCCACGAGAAACAGAGACAGACAAAGGTAATTTGAACAATTACATTTTAGAGGGGTTTCGCCTAATTTATTTAGTAGAATTAGCATATTCCAATTAGTCTGTGAGGCCTTCTGATAATCCTCCTCTGGTTTTGCTGTTTCACATGGGTGTACCCATTTCCCCTCCCCCAACTCTGGGTACCTGCTTTTGAAGGTTTCAGGGGGCATACCTGCTCCTTTGTCTCCCCTGCATACTTTAAGGCATGACCAAATTTTGCAGCCATATATGGTTTTTAAAATGGACTTGAACCTAATTCATTTAGCAAGGTTGTAGCAGAAAAGAGCACATTAGAGCCGTGGTTCTCAACCTTCCTAATGCTGTGACCCTTTAAGACAGGTCCTCATGTTGTGGTGACCCCCAACCACAAAATTCTGTTGCTATTTCCTAACTGTAATTTTGCTACTGTTATGAATTGTAGAATACAGATATCTGATATCTGATATGCAAGTATCTGATATATGACCCCTGTGAAAGGACTGTTGGACCCAGGGTGGCGACCCACAGGTTGAGAACCACTGATCTAGACTCAGAACTATGGCCATTCCCCTTGACCTCTTTGGGATCCTTTTCCAGGAAATGAAAATGCCAGCAACCATACAAATGCCAGCCTGCTTCCTGGGAGCAGTGAGCATCCTGGTAAAGGGGGCTGGGTCCCTCTGTCCTGGTTTCAGGGGTGTGTAGTATCTATGCCTTTAATTCTGAACTTGGACTACAGAAGGCTGCTGAGGAGCAGACTCAAGGGCCTGTATTAAACAGGAGCTTCCAAGCCTGCCTTCTACATCAGCCCACATACTGGGCACTCAGCAGTGAAAGTCAGATATGCTCTCTTCTAATAAGATGACAAGCTAGTCAAAGGTCCCTTTTGTCATGGTTATTAAGCAAATATGTGCGAGTGGGGAGACAGAACCAAGACAGAATGGTGGGGGTATGATGGGCAGACCAGTCACACATCATGTGTATTAGGAGGAGTGAAAGCACCAGTCTTCATCAGGAAAGGAAATGAGGAGCAGGGGTTTTTTTTTGGGGGGGAGGGGGGGTTGGAGCTAGGGATGTGGCTCGTCTGGTAGAGTGCTTGCCTGGCATGCACAAAGCCTTTGGTTTGATTCCCAAAGGTGAACATATCAGGTGACAGTGTTCAGATGGGAAAGGTAGGAGAATCAGAAGTTCAAGGTCATTTCTGGCTAGGTAGAGAAGTCAAACGCAGTTGGGGGATACATAAGACTTACCAGGAAAGAAGAAAGAAAAAGGAGGTTGGGTCCCCCCTTACTACCAAGGCAACCCAGAGGAGTCCGGGGGTGGGGAGGGAGTGGGGGACACACTTTATCACAGGCAGAAAGCCACAAGACTCTCCAAGGAGCAGAGTGCCCTTCCCACAGAGAACTCATCCCCTGCTAGTATCAGCTGGCCTGGAAGGTGGCAGCACAAACCAGCCATAAAGAATGCACAGCCTGCCTGGATGTGTGGGTGCCCCACCCAGGGCCTTTGTCCATCTGCATGCCATCCCGCAGTCAGTCATTTCAGTGAAGCAGGCTTGCTTGTCATGATGCTTTGGTAGGTGAAGAGTGGAAATTCTTCCCCTCGTGTGTAGAGAAAAAGAGACCATTTGGGGGTACACTCTTCCCTTTCAGTGCAGATGACATGACACTTGACCAGATTTTCAGTTACCCCTAAAGAGAGCACTTAAACATCTAATCTCTTTTCTAAGGGTCATGGCTTAACATTAATTTCACAAATCACCTATATAGATATAGATACACTGGAGAGCAGTAAGGTGACCACACAGGCTCTCCAGATCCCGGGGCGAGAAAGGCACCAGGTGACTGCTTACCTTGTTTTTGCTGGAAGATCCTAAAACTACACAAAGGGAGTGCAAGTCCTTGAGGTGATATTCTAATACACTAATACAATTCACCGTTCGGTCCCTGGAGCTAAGCTCCAGGCATCAGGGCGTTCCAGCTCCGCAGGAAGGCAGGGACACTTGCGAACTAGTCTTTCTGGGCATGTCTAGTCCCCATCTCTCCACCTCGCACAGGCGTCTATTTTGAGGACGCCCAACTTTGTGGCTTGAGAGGAAGGTACAGCTCCCCATTTCCGCTAGATGGCGATATTTCCCCTAATCCATCAGCCTCAAAACACCCAATTTATAAAATAAATACAATCCAACGCCTTCCGAAACCACACCACATAATAACAGCGCAAGACTCCCATTAAAATCCCAGTCTGGGGGAAATTGACTCTCCCTCCGAGCAAATCTAATGCAATTACTTTACTAAGATGCAACCTAGAGTTGCATCCGAGCGTCTTTCACATTTGCACCGGTCCCCCAATACACCTGCCCCTCTTCCCTAGTTCAGACCCGGGAATGAGCCAAGGCGCAAGTCAGGCGCTGAGTGTCTTGCCTTCCTCTCCACTTAGGAACGTCGAGCCTTTCCGGATTCTCTCCCCTTAGCACCCACCCCAAGTCTTGCACCTTCCTGCACACCGGACAATCCCAAGCAAGGCGTCACTCACACTTGAGCCTGGAAGGTGTACAACGCCAACGTCCCCCCACACCTCACCCGGGCAGGCGCGCTCGTTTTCAGCCTCTGCACCCCCAGCCTGGATGCAGCGAGCCAATGGGGCTTCACAGTCGATCGGCAGGGTGGCTAGACCTGTCCAGAGCTCTGAGGGTCAGGAGGGGCTCTTGCCTCAGGAAGAGGTGGCCTCGCAGGAGAGAGGGAGCTCCAGGCCGGTTCACAGTGGGTGGGACGTGCGCCGGGTCTGCCCAGCCACGCGCAGCGCCTGCTGCCCGCAGGACAGCATTTTAGAGGGGAAAAAAAAGAACAAACACCAAACCACAAAACTTTCCGGCTGCCAAGAGCGAAGGCGATTCGTCCCAGGCAAAGCCCCAAATGTGTGAGATGAGACACCGGGTTGGGGGAGCCCCAGATCAGTGCGGTGGCAGCCGCAAGTGCCGGCGGCGCCTTGGGGACGTCAGGACCCCTTGCCCCGCTGTCTGCACTTACCTTGGCGGCTGCATGAGCCCCTCCAGCCCGCGGGGGGTGGCGCTGGCGGGGCTGAGCGCGAAGACTAGGTGTGGGGCGGTCGCTCGTGGGCCCCTGGGCGAGGTGGGAGGGGCCCGGCTGGAGCTGGTCCCCGCAGCTCCGCGGACTCAGTAGCGGCCCGGGGCGCGCCGCCTGCTCCCGGGCTGCATGCCGGCGAGCGACTGGAGGAGCCGGCCCCGGGAGCGGTTGGCCGGCCAGTGCTTCCCGGGCGCAGGGCTCGGGCGGCGCAGCCTGCGCTTCCGAGACAACTGCAGAGTAGGGCGACTCGGGCTAACCTGCTCCCTCGCCCGACCCGTCGCCGCCACCGCCACCGCCACCGCCACCGCCGAGCGCGGTGTCGCGAGGTTCGTTTGCGCGCGGCGGGGAGGGGGCGGGCCGGGCGCCCCGGGAGCGGGCGGGGGGCGAGCGCGGGCGGGGCGGAGGGAGGGGCGGGGGAGGTGGGGTCGGGGCTCCGAAGGCTCCGCCCCTCCGCGGTCCCACCCTTGCCGATCCGTGCTAGTGGGGTGTGTGAGGACTTGGGGGCGCGCCTGCCAGAAAGCGCACACTTTCCCGGCGGGCTCGCGATCCCGGGGTGCGAGCAGCAAGTGCGGAGACCCTTCCCTGCTGCCAACGCAACCAACTTTCCTAACCCGGGGCAAAGATGTCGTGGAGTCCACATTTTCAATCTGGGGACCCTCGGTGGTCAAAGGTTTCTTATCGTGGATAAATATTGACCTCTGCCGAGCCGCACCTTTGTTCTAATGGGATTTTACTCCCGTTTAAGAATCTTATTGGAAAAAATAAATAATATGTGTATCGCATGCACAGTGTCCGTATATACTCGACTACAATTACACATTTGCAGAGTCTGAAGTAAAAGGACCGTCTCACACGCCCTCCCGCTTGCGGTCCAGCCTCAGAGGTAATCTCCGGTCACAGCGTCTTCCCACCACCCTACCCCGCCCTCCTCGCATAGATTGCCAGAGGAAACTCCCGGGCTTCTCAAAAGGATTCTTCATGCAGCTCACGCACACAGTGGTGAGCACCGCCAAGCCCGCAGCGGCTCATCCCCAGGGTCTCGCCCCAACGCCACGTGTAGGTCTGAAACCCTAGCTGGGGTGTGAAGTCAGCCGGGACACACAGCTCACACCCAAATTAGCACTGCACAGTTAGTGCTGCCAGGACATTTTAGACAGGGTTACGACCTGACCTTCTCTTTATATTGAACCAAGCGCTTGAATTTTGATAGGTTGGGAACTCCATATTTAATGAAAAGGTATTGTTGCTATTAAGACACCATCGTTATTTATTCTGTGGTCTTAAGGGATGTGGTTTTGAACTCGATGTCCTGCGTTTTATTGGCCAAATGAATTTGGATAATCTATAACTGAGCTATAAATAAGCTCCACGTGCTTTTAGCAGGAAGGGATTGGGTGTTGCAGTTGGCTAGTTTCCATAATTAGCCTCGACCTTGGACAAATCTTTTGGGTCTGCTAAGCCTCAGTTTCCTTGTCTATAAATATGGGAGTTGTACCAGAAAGTGTGTGTGTGAGTGTGTGTGTGTGTGTTTATCTTTCTTTTTCACATTCCGTCATCTTCTGCTTAGGGACGCTCCCCAACCCCATTCCCAAATCCCAGGTGTTGTTTTCCTGGCTCTGACATCAATCTGTAATTACGCCTTTATTTGTGGTCTTCTCATCATACTGTAAGTGGTCAGGAACCTCTCCTTGGGGTCATCATGCCATCCCCAGCACCCAAGAGAGTCTGGTGTATTGCAGATACACAGTAATTGCTATCACTCAGTAGTCTCTCTCTGTCTCTCTCTCTCTCTGTCTCTGTCTCTCTCTCCTTTTAAAAACTGCTCTTTGGAAGAGCCTGGCATTTCACAATTTATGTCTCATTTTCAAAAGTCATCCTTGGAAAGTACCAGGTAGGGTTTTCTCACTTTGGGGTACAAACAGCCTATTTCCTGGACCAGACTTTAAATCTCAGCTCAACTGTGGGTCAGTGGAGGAAGCCAGAGTTATTTACCTTGATGAACATGGTCGATGAAGACAGGCCTATAAATACTACTCATCCATACTCAATTCCAGTGGAACTATGCACAGGCAGCTGAAATATGCCTATGAGCACTGTCTTTAAATAAGGCCATGGGGGTATGTTGAGGGTGCCAATTAACAACTGTACATGGCTTCAAGAATAATCTAGAAACGTTCCTAATATAAAACTCCAGGGAACCTTTGTTTTTCTTTTGACCCTGAATTCCTTAGGCATAGGAACAGAAAATAGGCTAACTTGGGCTCAAGATTGTTTTGTTTGTTTGTTTGAATAAGGCAGTAGCAAATTAGAACAGGAAGCAGCAAGCCACAGAAATATCTATAGCAGTTTTTCTCCTCCTCCTCCTCCTCCTCCTCCTCCTCCTCCTCCTCCTCCTCCTCCTCCTCCTCTTTCTTCCTTTTGGTTTCTGGGTTTCTCTGTATAGCCTTGACTGTTCTGGAATTTGCTCTGCTCTGTAGACCAGGCTGGCCTCGAACTCAGAGATTTGCCTACCTCTGCCTCCAGAGTGCTAGGATTAAAGGCGGGCGCCACTACACCCGGCCCCAGTTTCTCTTTTGCCGTGCAGAGTAGCAGAGCGAAGTTAAAATCTGGCTTCAGCCGGGTGGTGGTGGCGCACGCCTTTAATCCCAGCACTCGGGAGGCAGAGGCAGGCGGATCTCTGTGAGTTCGAGGCCAGCCTGGTCTACAGAGCGAGATCCAGGAAAGGCGCAAAGCTACACGGAGAAACCCTGTCTCGAAAAACCAAAAAACAAAAAAAACAAAAAAAAAAATCTGGCTTCATAGAAAGGCAGCTGGGGCGTCTACTCCTTCCCGGCCACTCTTTCCTTCCTTTTGTGAGAGGGACGGCTTGCTCGCCACGGGGAGGCCAGGTCGCCAGGCTGCCACACGCAGCAGCAGTTAGGCGAGAGAAGAGCCAACCGCCGGCTTGCGAGAAGCGCCCGGCGTTGGCGCACCCGGGAGGCGGCTCTCCTCCGAGCACCACGCCCCGCGGGCGGGAAAGCTGGCGGAGCTCCCGGGGTGTGGAGCAATTTGCTGTTTCTGTCGGTTGCAAATGAGTGGTGGCACCTGCTGGGCGAGAAGGCACCCTCAGAAAGTGAATGCAACATGAGTAGAGGAGAGATTCCTTTTTGCCTGATGGACAAAAAAGGCACATGGAGGGCTATCTCTCAACGGTCGGAGTACCCCCCACCCCACCGCGCGCCCCCACGCTCAACCCATCTTTCTCGATAACTTCAAGTGCAGAGCTGTAGAAGTATAGCTTGGACTCAAGAGTACCGAGTCAGGACTCTGCCAAGACCCGGTGGAGAAAGAGTGTCACTCTAGCTCACCCGTGGCCCTAGTGTCATCAGGGAAGGCAGTCAGCGCTGGGAGCTTGCCCTCTCGGATCCATGCAGCGGTTTTGTATCAAACACTTACTTCAATCATCAGGCCCGAGGCTGGACCCTGCAAGGACATCTTGATTGCACAACACAGTCTTTGCCCTGAGGCATCTGTAATGTAGTTGGAAAATAGGAGGAAAAGGATCTTTCTGAGGAGTGGCAGGCTCCTTGTCCATCATGTAGACCCCTCCCTCCAATAAAGCAGTCCTAATAAAATCTACACTTGCAAATGCTGCTTTGGGTCAACCTGCTGGCCCTCCCTTCCAAACAGCGACCTTAGGAAGCTGTGACCTGCTAAAAGAAGTAAGTGTGAAAGAGAGGGTCGGTAGCTGCATGATCTGACATTGTCAGTTAGATTTTATCCTGGCCAGCAGCTGTGGGGTGTGTTGGGTTTGGGGGTCCATGGAATGAGGAACATGCAGGCCATATGGTAGAAAACCACACAAAAGGGAGATGTTTTAACGAGGCCAAAGAAACAACCGAGTTTCAAACAATTTACATCCGTTCTAAAAACGGACACCAAGGCAGTAACTAGATTAAGTAAGTTTGTGGGAACTGTCAAGACGGTTCAGCAGGGTGAAGGTGATTGCTGCAGGAGCTTACCGCCAAGACCGATGACCTGAGTCCCGTCAGTCCCTGCACCCACGTGATAGGAGGGGAGAACGGACTACAGAAAGTTGGGGTTTGACTGCCGTCTTCACTGAGGAGTGAGCAGAAGAGAACCATAGAAGGTAAGTAGCTGAGTTGAAAAAGAATAGAAATGGATGACTGGAACTTGGTTGGCAGAGACAAGAGGCAGAAGAGCAGCCAGGAGATCCTATTACTCTTGGTTCCCGGACACAGAGAAGACACTAGGAAGAAGGAGCTGTTGGAGGCCCACGTTGCACGGGATTGAGGAATGAAGAAATACCAAAGTGGCAGAAGTGAGGTGGGCAGATAACCCTGTGGGAGAGTGCTTGCCCAGCAAGTGCAAGACCCTGGGTTTGATCCTTAACACTACAAAGGATAAAAACATACAGAAACCATGAAGTTCTGCTACAAAGAGCTGAAGAAGGGGAGATGGGAAGAGAGAGGTCGATGATAATCAGACTCACGTGGCAGGGCACCGCCAAGCCATCCGTGGAAAGTCACTTAGTTTTCTATACCTGATAATATGTGTGAATGTTTAATCTAAAAACCCAGGGCCTGTGCGCATGGGTGCGGGTCAGTGGGTGAACACATTACGTTAGCCTGGTAAACTGGATTCTATTCCTGGAGCCCACGTGAAAAGCTGGATGCAAGGATTGCATCTGTCATTGAGTACCCGTAGTGAGATGGGAAGTGGAGCCAGGGGGATGGCCTGGAAGCTTGTAGGCTAGCTAGCCTGGAGTCCACAGCACAGCAGCAGCAACAGGAGAGATCTTGCCTCAAAAACAAGGTGGAAGGAGAGAGCTGACTCCAAAAGTTGTCCTCAGACCTCCTCCTGCACGATGTGGCATATAGATGGCTGGCACTGTTACACACACACACACACACACACACACACACACACACACACACACACACACACTATCATGATGGACATTGTCAGCTTTTGAGCCCCATCTGCTGAGTAAGGTAGAATGGTAATCAAAGTAAAATGAGGATTGGGTTTGTTTAAAAAAAAAAAAATCAACTATCAGTCCTAGGAACAGAAAACAAACACCACGTTTCTTCATTTATTTATCTTTTTTCTTCATGACTCTAGGCAACAGAATGAAGTGACTTAGTAGTCGACTTTTCTGTGAAGCTGACTGATTTAGACATGAGTGCAGTTGGAGGGTTTGGGTAGCCGCAGCTGCAGACCAGCTGGGATGTGGTCAGTGAACATAGCCTCCCATCCCACAATAGCACCCACAGAAGCCAGGCCTTGACAGTCTAGAGGCCTTGGGAACCAGCTTGGCAGGCCACATTCCCTTTGTGGTGATCTGGAAGGTGGGGAGGCCTGCTGGCTTCTTATTCTTCTGGGCTGGGGGGGGGATCCCTTTGGATTTTGTTTGGCAATCATTTACTAAGTTCCTCCCCTACAAGCACAATCAGTATCCATCATAGATGCTGCCTATGTCCTTGTGCCCATCCTAGCAGGTAAGAATTAGTCGTTGTATTTTATAGGAAATGGGTTCCAAAAGCAAATAAGCAATCAGGATTCGCATTCATGTCTACCTGAGTCCAAAGCCGATGCATTTTAAATCAATTTGGTAGGCTTTTTTTTTTTTTTTTTTTTTTCCCTATTTCCTTACCTTTCTTGTTAGGCTCAGGACAGAACTACTACACACCCTGTGTCCTAGGGAGTCAGCATGGACCTCTGCTTTCTATAGTGCTGCCAAACGTAGTGGAGTAAGCCCATCATGCTGTCACCTACAGTGAAATGCATCCAATGTTCATGGATGAGCTCCATTGGTGCATTGTGGGCTCCGAGGACTCCGAGTCATGCGAACCACAGGGATGCTCAGAGAGACACTGTACTTCATTAAGCATTCTGATGAGTGTCCTAAGAATGAGTGAGTCATACCCGTTTCATGGGCTCCTATTTTGGTTACTAAACTTTTGGGTCCAGGAAATCTCACTGGTTGGATAGAAATAAATCATACTTCACACAGGGAGATCTTGGTTTCCAGTGAAGACTAATTTTAAAGGTTCCCGTAGGAGAGCACCAAAAATTGAATGCAGACTACAGAGCAGACACATTTATCCATGGATAGGAGGGGGAGGGGAGAGAGAGAGAGTCAGAGTTTTAGGGTGTTAAGATTTATCAGAAGGTACTGCTTGAAGTGTTCAATCATGTGTGTATGCATGCACATATGACATATATATACACACATACACATACATATATACATATATATTATACACACACATACACATATACATATCACACATACACACAAACACATATGGACTTGCTATATAGCCCAGTCTGGCCTTGAACTCTCCACACTCTGGAGTGCTGGGATTACATGTTTGTGTAATCACTATTCCTGGCTTCAGTGATCTTATAACAAAAAATATCACTAGTATTTAGACTATTGATGTGATATTTGATTAGGGTAAGGCTGGACTGTTGTGAAGAGGAAACTCAATAATAAGACTTTAAGAACAAAGTTTATTTATTGCAATCTAAGGTGAACTTCTAGGTTGGGAGGAAACTCTGCTCCATGTGGTCATTCAGATTCTTGCCAGTCATTGTTTCATTCAGTCCCTAAAGCCCTATTACGATATAAATAGTTAGAGCTGGAGTGTTGCATGACTGGGTTGCAGTGTAAGCAGGGCAAAGCATGTGGAGGAGGGCTGGCTCTGTTTGTATCATTATGGCTTCTCATATGTCCCTATCTAGCTGCAAGGGAAGCTGGAATATTAAAGTTGCTGGGCAGTTATCAACTTATTTCTGTGCAACAGGGAATTTAGATTGTTGTTGCCTAGCAATATTTGGTTGACAACTTGCAGCTGAGTACTTTTTTTTTTTTTTTGAGACAGGGTCTCTACATAGTCCTGGCTTTCCTGGAACTCACTATTTAGACCAGCCTGACCTTGAACTCACAGAGATCTGCCTTCCTCTGCCTCCTGAGTGCTAGGATTAAAGCTGTGCACAACACCATGCCCAGATCAGGAATGCACTTTATTGATCTAACGTGGCATAGAGGGAAAGTGCTGGTTCTGGACCCAAAGGACCCGAGTTTGAATCTGTGTCTCTCACACTGGAAAAGATGGCCCTTGTTTTCTTCAACTGTGGTACCCTCCCTCCTTCAAAAGCCACTGGGAGGATTATGAACACCACAGCTGCTTGATATCATTATTCCAAGTTGGAATAGATGAAAACGACCCTGAGTTAGCTTAAAGAACTGGAAATTTTGATTGAGAGCCAAACCATCTTATAGATTCTAAAGATGGGATATCTAAAGATGAACTTCCGTGGGGAAGGCCTGGGATTAGAACTGGAAATATTTGAGAGGGACAGGATGAAAGAGGGGGAAACCGCAGGAGTCATCGATGTCTTAGCAAATACTATCAGTACTAACTTTGACCTTGATCTTGACTGGATCCATTTCTCTCCATCTCAACTCCTCACTTTTGAGCCTTGCTTGGATGGTAATAACCCTTGGTCTGGTCTCTCTGCATCCATTCTCGTGCTCTCAAATCATTCTCGTGCTCTCAAATCCAGTCTTTGACACAGCAGCCAGAATGGAGTGTAGAATTGTTTACGAGATCCTGTCTTCTCTTTGAGACTTCAACTGTCTTTTGACAGTGTGTTGACTAAAACTTGTCATGGCTTCCTGTGGCCTCGTAACCATGAGGATTTCTCTGAGAGCACTTACCACTCTGCCCTTTCCCACTTTGCCTTAGCTACTGGACCCAGCTGCATCTAAATGTGTACTCTACATCTGGCTCTTGCCTCAGGGCCTTTGCTCTAGCTATTACCCCTGCAAGGAAGCCTCTCAAGAACTTCTCCTTTTAGCAATTTGCATCTCAGTATTAAATCTCAGCGTGCTCTCTCTCTTACTTACCACCCTATTTTCTTTCCCTCTCTACTCAATACTTACCATGATTTTACACTTTTCTTACTAATCTACGTTTATTGTTTTCCAATTCCTTTTTTTTTTTAAATAAGGGAGGCACATCTTCTCTTTAAAAGTTATTTATTTTTATTTTATGTGTATGCATGTTCTGCCTGCATGTGTTTTTAGGCAACACATCTGTGCCTGGTGGCGGCAAAGCCAGAAGAGGGTGTCAGATTCCATGGAACTTGAGTTAAGGACAGTTGTGAGCTGCCATGTAGGTGCTGGGAAATGAACCCGGGTCCTCTGCAAGAGCAGCCAATGCTGTTAACAGCTGAGCGTCTCTCCAGCCCCAGTTGGTACTCCGTTCATAGAATTCAACATGTCAACAAGTAAAATCTTTGTAAAGTAGGCAACTCTTTGTTTATCTCTTTTGCTCAGGGATCCTTTTAGAATAAACTGTATAAATTAAAACAAACAAACAAAAAACCAAAAACTTGCCCGGTGGTGGCACGTACCTTATATCCCAGCACTCGGAAGGCAGAAGCAGGCGGATCTCGATGAGTTCGAGGCCAGCCTGGTCTACAGAGCAAGTTCCAAGATAGCCAAGGCTACACAGAGAAACTGTCTGGAAAAAACAAACAAAAAATGAGGACAAACCCCCAAAACTGTATGCTCACTGTTTCTGATCATCTGAAAACTTAACTGTGTATTTTGAACTTTCCACTTCAACAAATACTGACTTACTATGCTTACATTACTTCCTTACATAGATACATCATGCCTAACTTAACTTCTTTGTACTGGGCACAGGTGCACACTCTGATATAGAGACATTTTTACACATTCTTCACCATGTCTCCCACACACCTTTGAAATATTGAGTCAAAGGATGTTGATGCTCTTGGGCCTGATGACTTCCAGAAAAGCTGCAATTGTTTTCAGTGCCTCCTAGGAGTGTGAGAGTGCCAGCTTCCCAAGACCCCAGGGAGAGGACTGTAATTTTTTGTCAATTTGATGTACTAAAAATGCCACCTATGAAATGTATCAATTCATACCTTAAAATATCATCACCAGGAGTACAGAATTTTTCCCTTTGTTTATTGGATTCTTGCTTCTGTCATCTTTCACCCTGCTCACTTCCTTGGCTCCCTTTTGAAACTGGCACCTTATCTCCATGTGGTTTTCGCTTTCTCAGCTGTGGATTTTCCTCTTTCGTCTTTATTGCGGGAATGAGGGGCATGGCTTCTCTCTGTGCTCTGCAGGCTCCCTGCAAGTGCCCTCTTCCACACTAGTAGAAAAGAAGTTACCTGGGTCTACTGCCTGAGGAGGTGTGCGAAGAAGTCAGCTGTGACGAAAGGGCTGGTGTTTTACAACCTGGCTTGAGGCTGTCAATCCCATATGAACTGTGTCTGAATGATCGTCGGGAGACCTTCACCTGGCCCAAAGCCATGAAACTGAGGCAGGGACATCTTCAAGGAGGGAAGTACCCTTCATCTGTTTTTGTGAGTTTATGTAGAGTAGACTGAGGCCAACCAACCAGAGTATTCATAGAGCATCCAAACGTTGCAGACAAGTGAGCATCTAGAGATACCTTCTGAGTCTTCAGGGAGCACTTTCAGTGATTGAGGCCTTAGCCTAGGAGGTAAGCAGAACCTCTCAGTGCAGCAAATGGTTCGGGCCAAGCTTTGGGCCAACTAACTCCCTATCAACCCTGAGAGTGATTACCGGTTTCAGGCTTAAACAGAGAAAGGGAATCCACTTTAGGGGTCAGATCTTGATAGTTAAGTAGTCAATCAACATTTCCTCATTAGAATTTTATTTCTCTGTTCTTCTCTTCCCCAGAGGGCACGATTTCCACTGGAGCTGATTTATTCTTAGGCTTGGTTACTGGAGAAGTTCTCAGCAAGAAACCCACATCTGAGACCTACTACTCTTTCCTGTGAGAAAGAATGCTCAGAAAGTCCCTTGCACAACCAGGGAGGGGACTGGTACCCAAACCAAGGAGATGAAAAGATCCAGCAGGAAGCTGGGTGTGGTCAGTTAAAGCATTGCTCTTTAATCTGAGTCTCCCCCTCCCTCCCTCCTCTCCCCTTTTACTTTTGTATACACATGTGCAGGACTTAAAGTATTCTTGTGATAAAACAATAGTAAAAGTCATGGTTTTAAAAAATATCTTGGCGAAGTAAAAAGCTACTAAATGCATATTTCTCTCTCTAATTTCTCCCATTCTTTTGGAACATTCGCAGACATTATATTACATTTCAGTGTAAGGCTCTCCATGTCACTGGGAGCATGATGGATGCTTTATCCTTTAGAGAAATCACTTTTGTAGAACCCCCAAACTCACTTCTCCAACACCCAGCCTACTGTCCTTTTCTTCCCAGCGGTTGGAGTGTGGACTTCCACCTCATCATCCCAATGGGGTGCCGGACTGCCAAGTTCAAGAGGGCTGTGGGATGTTCTATATGTTAAATGTATTGCTCTGATTGGTTAATAAATAAAACACTGATTGGCCAGTAGCCAGGCAGGAAGTATAGGCGGGACAAGGAGAGAGGAAAATTCTGGAAAGTGGAAGGCTGAGTCAGAGAGACGCTGCCAGCCGCCGCCATGACAAACGAGTCGTAAGGTACGGGTAAGCCACGAGCCACGTGGCAACTTATAGACTAACAGAAATGGGTTAATTTAAGATATAAGAACAGTTAGCAAGAAGCCTGCCACGGCCATACAGTTTGTAAACAATATTTTTATTTATATGTTATTTACTTGGTTGGGTCTGAGCAGCTGCGGGACTGGCGGGTGAGAGAGATTTGTCCTGGCCGCGGGCCAGGCAGGACTGGAGAAAACTTCAGCTACAGCTGTGGTTGGCATGACTGTGGACCGTTGATTATTTGCAACCTCTACGATTCTAAATGGCATTGGCCAAGATCTTCCAGTCTGTAAGCATGTAACAGCGGCACCCACACTCCTGGCCTGCAGAAATAAAGCCTGAAAAAGAAGCCAGCCAGCTCGGCATGGAAGGGGCTTGTGATCTAGGGACCTGAGTGAATTCCCAGAGGGAACTGCCAGGAGGAAGTTCAGGTCACATGGCTCTCCTCTTTCCCCACTGTGTCCCAGCTTCTTCAGATTGGGTTCATTTCAGGAACTGCAGATCCTCCAGGGAAACTCCTTAAGGCCCCGTTTCACACAGCGGAAGTCAGCGTGCTTGTTTTTAAATGAGCAGGATCCGGACATTGGATTTTTTTTTTTAATTTTAGAAAATACAAAAATAAAGCAAGAAGATAAATATAAATGGGGGGGGGGAATGAAGCTTCACTGTTTTCTCAGTTGTGGAAAAAAAAATAAAATGAGAAAGCATACCGTGGAGCCTGGAAGCCCAGATCTGAAGAGCAGAGGCAATCAATGGAATGGATGCCGAGCTAGCCCTGCAGTTCAGGTTTGCAATCCTGCGTTATCACTCCTTCCAATTCTCGGGGCTGACGGCTTCTGAGGTGTTATTAGGAGACACCAGGTCACTTTCATATTCCTGGGAGAAAAACTCCCTGATTTGCAGTGAGATCTTGGATTTGACCCGTGACTTCTGTGTTACCCTGGATCAGCGGCTGTGATTCAGGTGATAAAACAGAGCAAGCTGGCTTTTGCTCATTAACCTTCCTTCCGAACCTCGAAGGATAACCTCAATTTCTCTGGGACTGCACCGAAGCAATAGACTTATGAAATACCAGTGGCAAGGCTGGAGCCTGTATTTTCTGGGGTTTGGCTGGACTTCTCTGTGGGCCGCCTTGCATATTAAAAGGCCTGGCTGGGCTGCAGGCTTTGTGTTTTCTGCTGTAAGCTGAAATGAGGGCCCAGGTTTGAGTATCTACTGCTCTCTCCATGGCTGGGCTGGTTGGCTTCCTTTTCACGCTGCATTCATTATCTGGAGGCTAAATGATGTGGGTACTGCTGTTGTGCGCATAGTGATTGGAAAGCCTCAGGAAACGTGATTTTAAAACCATTAAGTTAGCGGTGGCGCACGCCTTTAATCCCAGCACTCGGGAGGCAGAGCCAGGTGCATCTCTGAGTTCCAGGCCAACCTGGTCTACAGAGTGAGATCCAGGACAGGCACCAAAACTACACAGAGAAACCCTGTCTCCAAAAAAAGAAAGAAAAAAAAAAAAAACCCACAAAACACAACAACAACAACAAAAAACCCCCAAACAAAAAACTACAAAGTTTTGCAAAGTCCTACAACTGTGCTGGAAGTGTGAGGACCTGTAGAAGACCCCTCCCGGATGACAGTGTTCACCAGGAAGGGCCAGGACCCAAGGGATGAATTCTGGAGCCAAGGGTGCACCCTCAGCCCTCTGGGCTTCTGCAGGGTGTGGGCTGTGGGAGAGAATGGCAGGCTCAAAGGGAGGGCTTGCAGCCACCTGTGGCAAGAGGGAGGGGGCCTAGGGGCAGGGCAGGGACTCCTCCAAAACCCAGTAATACTCAGAGGACCAGAAGCCAACTCTGCTGAGCCACTGAGACCCTGCTCCCCAGGAAGACCAGCTAGTCGCTGGAAGTCACAACACAACCACTTCTGAAGGACTTAACATTTTGTATGCTTCCACACCAGATTTCCTTCTCATTACCCAATGGAAAAAATAATCACAGTGGGAAAAAAATTAAATGGACAAATCTTAAAATGAGCTCTGAAATCAAACCTCATCTCCATCACCTGGACAAATGGTTCTCAGACACGAGATGTGTGTCGTGGGCTGCTGAGAACGCTTTGTGTGCCTGTCGATGATGGATGCCGAGCTTCTGGGGGGTGGGAGGTCTACAGATAGAATTCGATGAGCTAGACTTTAAAAATCAGCGGCAGAAGAGCTGAGCCTTCCAATTTCTATCTTCGGCTCAAGTACAGTTTTGAGAGCTCATATCTAAACGTGTATGGGTTACAGGGAGGGCTGACAGGCAAAGCGAAGTGTTTTGAGAGATTCTTCTCTGAATTAGAAACCTAGAATTTACTTTGGATCCCTCCATCTTCCCTCACGGTGTCTTTCAGTCTGTCTGTCTCAGGAGTCATTTGGCCAGCTCTCTAGACGTTTCTGGAACCCCCGACCCTCATCACACTCTGTCCCTTCGCTGCCACGCTCCGGCTCAGACTCCCGGTGTTCCAACCAACTCCTCCGAGCGACTCTTCAGAAGTTCACGCCGGCCTGGCACTGCTTCCCAGGGCTCCTCGAAAGGCTGTTCAGCACCAGGAGTCACTAGCGAAATGCAAAGCAAAACCATAGTGCTGTGGGATGGTCTGTATATCAAATGTGTTGCTGATTGGTCAATGAATAAATCACTGATTGGCAGTGGCCAGGCAGGAAGTATAGGCGGGACTAACAGAGAGGAAAATTGAGAGAACAGGAAGCTGGGAGGGGAGACACTGCCAGCCGCCATCAGGACAAGGAAGATGGAAAGTACCGGTAAGCCACGAGCCACGTGGCAAGGTATAGATTAATAGAAATGGATTAATTTAAGCTGTAAGAACAGTTAGCAAGAAGCCTGCCACGGCCATACAGTTTGAAACCAATATAAGTCTCTGTGTTTACTTGGTCGGGTTTGAGCGGCTTGGGACTGGCGGGTGAGAGAGATTTGTCCTGACTGTGGGCCAGGCAGAAAAACTCTAGCTACACCATAGTGAGGTGCACCATGCTGTCAGAGTGACTGAAATAAAACAAAGTCAGTAGCAAATGCTTGCGAGGACGTGGGTCGCCTAGAGACCTCTACAAGGTGGTGGGGCTATAAAAGGCATAGTCACTCGGGAAGACAGTTTACACTTTCCTTCCTCTGTGTGTGTGTGTGTGTGTGTGTGTGTGCGCGCGCGCGCACGCACGGGTATGTGCTTGAGTGTGTGAGTTTATGTCCAGAGGCCAGAGGTGGACTTCGGGTTTCTTCCTATTTCTCTACTTATTTTTTAAAATAAAATATTTTGAGAGTTTTTTGAGGATCTCATGCATGCATAGACTTCATTTTGATCACATTCACTCCTTCCTCTGACTCCTTTCCTATCCACTCCCCATCTCCTCACCCCTGCCTCTCAACTTGGTGTCCTTTTTCATAACTCATCCAGTCCAGTCAGTGCGGCCCGTTTATTCCTGGGTGTGGGGTTATTCAATGAAGCGTGGTCATGACCTGCTAAGAGCTACACCCTGAAAGGAAATTGACTCTCCTTCCCTGACCAGCCATCAGCTCTCAGTAGCTCCTCTAGGGGTAGGGGCTCAGGAGCCCCTCCCCTCTCTACGCTGGACTGTTGACTGGCTTGACCTTGATCAGGCCACACAGCTGCTGTGCAGTGGTCCTATCGGGTCCGGAAGACACTGGTTGTGGTTGTTTTTATCCTTGGCTTCTCTGACCGCTACCTCCTTCCGTGTTGGTCCCTGAGCCCCAGGGTCTCCACTTTAGTTTTTGAGATAGGACCTCTGCTGACACCAGCACTCTCCATTTCTGCTAGACTGGCTAGCGAGGTGTAGGGATCCATTTGTCTCTGTGTCCACAGTGCTCAGGTTACAGGCACACTGCCACCAGGCTTAGCTTTTTCTGTGGGTGCTGGGGATTTGAACTCAGGTCCTCACGTTTGATCAGCAGGCATTTTACTCACTGACTCATCAAGTTTTTGACAGTTTATTTTAAAACTAAGCATACAGCTACATTTAACCCAATAATTGCAGCCTTCAGCATAAACCCCAGAGGAAGGAAAGCTGTATTCAAATGAACCCCTGGGAACACGGATGTCCAGAGAAATTTCATTTATAATAGTGAAAACCATCTTTGGGTGGCCCAGATGCCTTCCCATAGAGGGATGGTTATACAACTGCAGCATGTCTACACTTTGGACAACTGTTCAGCGCAAGGATTCAATTACTAATACATTCCACTAAGAGGAGAGGTCTCCAGGAAATAACACAGCGCAGAAAAAGACAAAAGAGGGACTGGAGAGATGGCTCTGTGGCTGAGAGCACTTGAGGTGCCATTATGAGGGCCAGAGTTCCTGTCCCGTCACCCACATAACAAACCAGAGGTCTGTGTGCCTCGAGCCCTTCTCTCCAGGGAGGAATGGAGACAGTAGGATCTCTGATACTTGCTGATTTCCAACACAGTTGAGAAAATGCAAGTCTCAGCTTCAGGGAGAGACCCTCCCTCAAAGGAATGGGAGGACCACCTAACACCTTCTTCTGACTTTTACACATGTACATAGACATGCACCCCAGGCTAGGTTGGCTAGGGTAACCCAAGGATTCACCTATCTCCACTTCCCTAACCTTGGGATTACAAGCATATGCCACCATTCCTAGTGATTATCTATCTATCTATCTATCTATCTATCTATCTATCTATCTATCTATCTATCATTTATGGTTTTTTGAGACAGGGTTTCCCTGTGAATCAGTCCTGGTTGTCCTGAAACTTACTCTGTAGACCGGGTTGGCCTTGAACTCACAGAGATCCTCCTGTCTCTGCCTCCTGAGTGAGGGGATTAAAGGCGTGTGCTGCCGCCGCCGCCACCACCCCCACCTGGCTGCCTGGCGATTTTTGTTTTTAAGTTTTATGTGGTTTCTGATGGACCAAATTCAGATCCTCATGATTACAAGAGAAGCATTTTGCTAATTGAGGTATCTCCCCAACCCTATTAATCATTTCTTTATTGAGGTAAAAAAAAAAAAAATATATATATATATATATATATATATATATATATATATATATATATATATATCATACCATTTCCCATTACAATAATTTTTAAGCCCAAATCCTGTGGCATGGAGTATGTCTTTTTGAGGTGGGGACAAGGTCTCCCCATGCAGCTCTGGATGGCTTTAGGCTGTGCAGAGCACACTGGCCTTGGATTTGTGGTAATCCTTTTGCATCCCCCCCCAGTTGAGACTTTGTACCCCTATGCATCAACTTTTCATTCTCCTTTCTTCTTGGTGTGTGGGGGTACCAACGAAACAAAGCAGAAAATGTCACCTCAAAACCAAAGCTCTTTCTGAGGCCCTCATCAGCCCGAGGCCAAACTCTCTTCATGCCCATGAGCTGTCCTTCCCGTGGTATTGTCCACCTGCAGGCTCTCCTGGGACACCCAGGTTCTCTCTGACTCAGCTGTGGGGCCTGGGAAAGTGTCCTAGAAAAGCATTCTGGTTTGGTCGAAGTGTCGTAACTCTATAAAACTAAGATGTGCGACTGCGATGGAAGGTCACCTTGAACATTTTCTCTCCGTGTCTTTCTGTTGGCTGTGTCCATGCTTTGCCTCTGTGACACGATTTCTTTTCAGCTTTTCCAAGTTTTTTTTTTTTTTTTTAGTGAGTGTGTTGTGAGGGTATCTGCCTATAAGAAAATTGTTTTTAAGCCTTATGACATAGGAAGACACGTCAAGAACAGAAAAAGATATTTTCAAAGGCTTGGAAGAAAGCCTGAACATAAATGAGAGGCAAAAGGCATATTGAAAAAGTTGATAAGGCTTGAATATTCATATTTTCGGAATTTGGAAATGGTTCAGAATATTTGAATAAAAGAAGTGAGAAGTTACAGACTCTAATTTGAATGCAGATGAAAGTGAAGCTATTTTGTGTTTGTTAAATTTGTCTATTAAAGAAGGAAGCTGAGGCGGAGGCTCCTGGGAACTCAGGAATGAGGGACCAACACAGGCCACACGGAAAGATTCTGTCCCTTAAGGAAAAACAAAGTTCAGTAAATTGAAGCAAACTGAGGGGACCATGAACAAACTAAACAGAAATCAGGGAAATTATTTTGACAATAGAAACTGTAATAGGCCTGCTGTGGTGGTGGATGCCTGTAATCCCAGAAACCTTGGAGGCTGAGGCAAGAAAATCACTGTGAGTTTGAGGGCAGCCTGGTGTCTGTAAAGAGTTCCAGACCAGACAGGACTACATAACAAAATCCTGTCAAAAACCAAAAAGCTCTGTAAGACAGAAATTATAGCTTTATTAAAAGAAAGTCCTTAGTGAGTGACATTTTACTCGTGATAGAAGTGATGAGTGAGCCCTTGGGTATCTTGATAGCTCAGTTAACTGAGGGCTAAATCATATGGATATTTTGGGAAAAGATTTCAGTTTCTTGCTGATTTGACCTCAAATTGTGATATTAGTAAGATGACTACATTTCTAATCCACGCAGTCATGAAGACATCAACAGCAAATTGACCAATGTATTTCATCAGTTCAAAGACCGGTCACTGTACTGGGAACCCAGAAGTCCCCTGAAATATCACAGTTCTCATGGAACCGTGAAGGTTTTTCAGTTTTGACAATTGTCTTGAACGTTTGCACAGCCACCTTGGAAATTAGTTGGAAAATTTTATTTTCTAAATGGCTAAGAATAAAAGTCAAATTTCTTTTTTTGTTTCTCTGTGCAGCCCTGGCTGTCCTGGAACTCACTTTATAGACCAGGCTGGCCTCGAACTCGAAGATCCACCTGCCTCTGTCACCCAAGTGTTAGGTTTAAAGTTGTGCACCACCACCACCTGACAAAATAAAATTTCTACCATCCCTTCATAGGAAGAGCTGAATTATCCTGTGTGCGTGCGTGCGTGCGTGTGTGTGTGTGTGTGTGTGTGTGTGTGTGTGTGTGTGTGTGTGTAGAAGACATTACCTTGCTACAGAAAGATGACAGAAGGATATGTAGAACGTGTGTGGAGATACAGGCACCGTAGAGGTTGCTAGGCAGCTAATTAACAAAAAGATTCGTCGGTTCTTCTAGAGGGTGAAACATTTGTGGTCAACTCTTTGAAGTCTATGAATTTTTCTTATTCTAAGCAAATATTTGTTTTCATATCAAATTCCCATATCCCTGATTTTGATAGCTCCAGGTTCTCCAGAGTCTGAATCTGCTGACACCCTACTCTGTATTGACCTGTCTTGCCATGTTACTCTCAGGCTCTGACCCCTGTGTGGTGTCCCCACTCCCAATCATCAAAGCATAAATCTCACAAGAACTGCTCTCACCTTCCTCCAGAGCTCGCCTGCTGTGTCAGGAGCCAGGCAGTGGGCATTCGAGTTCCA